TTTCTTCGGTCTAGTCTGGCCCCTTTTACGCGTATTTTGAAAGGATGTGTCCTTACGTTCGTGGTTGTAGCCAACTAGAAGAACTCGGCAGACATTCGGCCGCAGTCCTGACCGCGCATTATACGAAATTTTTTCATCAGATCGCCACGTAGCCGCCTGTAACTTAAAGGAAAGGGGTCGAGTTTTGCTAAACGTGTTTCATAGCGTAATGATCCCTGTCCGGTCACAAGCTGAGATGCACGACGGCGTACATTCTCAAAGAGACTGAGGTCTTTCGCGGTCCAGGATTTCCATGCTTGGATAGCAAACTCCAGTTTCGGTCGTACAAACGTTCCACAGACCTTAGCGAAGCTGTCTATATCAAAGGCGCAGAAAGCCCGTTCGACAAGGTACACGACCGACATCACAGACTTGGCTACTTTTGCGCAGTGGAGCGAGGGCTTGTGAGACGTCGAGATCCATACCCCTAAATCTTTCTGCGCGTCCACTTCTTGCAATTGGATGCCATTGAGGCCGTAAACCATGGGGTTTTGAGAGCTGGGTCGGCCAACTCGTAGGATATTGAATTTTTTCTCGTTAAACGACCAAAGCCAGTCTTAAGACAAAGTCTGAAGATTGTCTAGGTATATCTGCACACGCTCTTCGCCAGCTGAATTTCCGACGACATTCCAAATCTTAATGTCATCGGCAAACATAGCCACATCGCAGTCCAGTTCACGGATGGAGTCATTGACGCATATAATTAACAGTATCGGGCCAAAGACAGAGCTTTGGGGAAAACCGCTCTCGACTGCAACGTCTGCCGACTGCTGGTCACCAATATGGACAGTTTGGGAGCGGCCAAGTAAGAAGCTTTGAAAAAAATCCAGCAGATTTTCTCAAAAACCTATTTGTCTGGTTTTGTGCAGAATTCGTTGATGTGGGAGACTATCAAAAGCCTTCTTGAAGTCGATGTAGATTACATGAAGCGGATTTCCTCCAAACTGTCCGAGTCCAGCGTTCCAAACCATACAGCAAGTTCGTTACACAAGACCGGCCTCTGCGAAATCCATGCTGCGCATCCGATGTAAGGTTATGCTGCTCTAAGAAACGCATCAGAGGTCGCTTTACTACATTTTTATGATTTTGCAACAGATCGAATTAAGGCTAAGTGGTCTATAACTTTTTGCGGAATTTTTTTT